TCTCGCAACACTCAATACAAACCGTCGGGGCCACGACGCCATCTCATCCGGACGCGCTGTTGGGTTCTCTCACCCTTCGCCGCGTGACTCGCGGAGAGGCCGAGCGGCACCGCGCCGCGCCGCCAGGGATGGGGAGAATGGACAAACAAAGAAGCGGAGAGAGGGGAGAGGAAGAGGAGGAGGAACAGGAGGAGGAGGAGGAGGAGGGGGAGGAGGAGGAGGAGGAGGAAAGGAAAAGGGGAGGGAGGAAGAGGAGAGAACGAAACAAGTCCAATCCGCTTCGCCAGAGATATGCTCGCAACTCCGACCTCAGAAGCGCCTTGCTTCGCATCGGTCCCGCCGTATTCGCTTGAGACATCATCGCAGCTCTGGGGCCCGAGACACTCTCAGTTGAGGTGTTCCAGCCACTGTCGCCTGAGACACTCTCGCAAGTCTCACTTCGGAGGTGCCTTGCACCATGGTGGTTCTGCCACGTTCGCGTGCGACGTCTCGCAACTCTAAGTTCAAGGACGCCCTGAGCAGAGGTGTTCAGACCACTCCTCGCTTGAAACTTCCTCGCACGGCTAACTTCGGATATGCCCTCCCCTGAGCGGAGGTGTTCAGGCCATTTTCACCCGGGACGTCCTCGCAACACTTACCTCAGCGACGCATTGTCCCATGGTAGTCTGACCACGTTTGCCCGAAACCCTCGCGCCTTTTAGTAGCGCGATGATATGAGCAACTGGTCAGGCCACCGCCGCCTGATATACGCATGTGTATGCGCACACATAGGTACACTGACCATTTGCATATACATGTACATGTCCATACCAACGAATATATATATATATATATATATATATATATATATATATGTATATATATATATGTACATATGCATATACATATGCATTATGCATTCATAGACGCATGTGTGTGCGCATGTACGCACGCTCGCACTCCGCTAGCGTGCGAATTCCAAAGGACCAAGGTGCATGGCGCGCAGCGCCAATGCAGTCTTGTATACACACATATATATGAGTATCTGTATCTGTATCTGTATCTGTATATGTATATGTATATGTATGTTTGTGTACAGTCATGTACATGTATGCATATATACATCTGTATGTATGCATGTATGCATGTATGTATGTATATATGATTGTGTATGTGTGTGTATGTATGTACGTATGCACGTACGTATGTATGTATGTATGTATGCATTCATGCATGTATGTATGTATGTATGTTTGTGTGTGCATGTATGGATATATGCATGCATGTATGTATGTATGCACGCATGTATATATGTATATTTGTGTATTTGTATATATGTATATTTGTGTATTTGTATATATATATATACATATATATTATATATATATATATAATATATATATATATATATATATATATATATATATATATATATATTAAGAATGAAAATGATTTTTTATATAGTTTGCACCACATAGCTTGCGCCACGTGTCGTGCACCCCATGGCTCGCACCACAAAGCCTTCACCAAACAGCTTACATCACGTTTCTTTCCCAACCACACAGCTTGCACCACAGAACTTGCACACACACACACAGCTTGCACCACGTCGCTTGCATATCCACAGAGCACGAACCCCCTATTCGGGGCCCACGCCGTCCAAGATCTGGTGGCCCCGGGGCCTGCATGGGAGGGTTCTGGCGACCCCGCGCACGGCGAGAAAAACCTCAGTCTACGCGGGACCTGTCTTCCACTTCGGCCTGGTGCGGGTGAGCTGCCATCCCAGACGTGCGATGCCTTGTTTTTTTCAACACGGGGTCCCCGGAAACCCCGACCCTTCCCCCAAAGCGTTTTTTCTTCATCCCGAGCCGTTTTTTGACGGTTCTGGAGCACTGCGAGGGCCCCTGGAGACCGAAAACGGCGCAAAAACCTCCCGCCGTGATGTTTCTCCTCGACGCGAGCATGGTCCACTGGGGCTGGGCCTCGGCGAAACGATGCTGACTCCGATCGCCGGCCGGCGGCGCCTGCAGGTAGACCGAGGCCCTCTGCTGCTCCGCGGCTCTCGCCTCGGCCTCCGCCCGCAGCTCCGCCCGCCGCGCGGCCCGGCGCCCCTCGTAGGCGGCGGGCAGCTGCGCCGGCAGCGCCGCCACCGCGTGGGCGGCCTGCAGCGCGACCTCCGCAGCGCAGGGGGCGGCGGCGGCGGCAGGTCGCGTGCGCGCGCCGAACGCGCGGCCTCCGCGCGGCAAGGCGGCCGCGCGGGGAACGCGGCGCCCGAGCGCGTGGAGGCCGCGCCGAGGGCGCGTCGGCGCGAGCGCCGAGCGCACCGCGCGCATGGCAAGTCGGCCGCCCTCTGGGCGCGGCCTCCGCTGAGGGGCAACGAATTGGGGGGGACTGGCGTGCCCTGAGATCCTGGCTTCTCAGTCTTGTCGAGCCGGGGTGTTTTCGCCTTTTTTCGGGCCCCGGGACCCTCACAGATCGATCGAACTTGGAAAATAACGCAGAAAGATGTGGTCTAGGGCTCCAGGCGTGATTTTTTGTGGTGATGTTTTCGTTTTCGCTACGTCGGCTCTCAAGGTAAGGGGTGAAACATCGACCTGGAATCGGCGATACATCGCCGATAGATCGGCGATGGGCCCCCGGTAATTAGTGAATCCGTGCGTTCCTGAGCGGGGGTAGGCTATCGGGCCCGTATCGATGATGACTGGACGATTGGGGGTCGCTGCGTCCCCCTCTATGCCCATCCCCCCTATCGTTGTCCCTGATCCGCGCTCCCGCCGCGGGCGACACGTCCCGCGTGTGTGTGTGTGTGTGTGTGTGTGTGTGTGTGTGTGTGTGTGTGTGTGTGTGCGTGCGTGCGTGCGTGCGTGCGTGCGTGCGTGCGTGCGTGCGTGTGTGTGTGTGTGTGTGTGTGTGTGTGTGTGTGTGTGCGTGTGTGTGTGTGTGTGTGTGTGTGCTCGTCGCGCGCCTCTTCGCCTGACCTTCTGCCTTCTGCGCCGCGCCGCCGCGCGCAAGGCCGCGACGCCAAAAATGTGTGCGCGTCCTCGTCCTCGGGTAGTCAGTCGTTCCCCTGCCGCTCGCTGTCCAAGGGTTCACTGACCCGGGTCAGTGCAAACCCGGTCAGTCAGGCCTTGCAGCATCCTGAAAGGTCCTGCGGGGTCCTGCACTCAAGCTCGGGTCAGTGCGACCCTGGCCCTGCAGGATCTGGCGCTCTGGCTGATCCCCGTTTGCATTGGCCCCCGTCTCTTAAGCCCCGATGTGTCCTCTTCCTCTTCCTTCTCCTCCTCCTCCTCCTCCTCCCTCCTCCTCCCTCCTCCTCCCTCCTCCTCCTCCTCCTCAACCTCCTCCTCCTCCTCCTCCTCTTCCTCCTAGCCCCCCCTGGCTCAGTGGAGCCATTTGCGGGCGCGCGTTGGGGGGGGGGCGCAGCCCCCAGGAGCCATGGAGAAGATAACATGAAGGAGAAGCTCAGGAGGCCTTGAGCACTCTCGCGAGCATTGCAACGTTAGTGGCGAAATGCATTTCGTCATCCCGAGTGTTGTGATGATCAAGACCTTGAGCATTCTCGAAGGAATTGCGCCGTCAGTGGCGAAGTACATCGGTAAGTTCGTCATCCCAGGCGTTGTGATGATCAAGGCCCGCCAGAAGAAGGCGACCAAGGCCAGGAATCGTGGGATCTTCGGCAAGGTCGTCTTTGTGAAGGCGAACGCCCTCAATAAGTACACCCAATAGCTGGGCTGAGAGGCTCGGCCCGTCGGTGGCGGCTGTGTCAGGCATTGGCCCTGCCTCGTTGCCATTGCTGGGCGCCTCGGTTTTCTGGCTTGAACCTCGTCGCGTCGCCGCGTCTGCACTCGCCTCGGGCCGTTGGGCCGTTTTGGTTTTCCTGGCGCGGGTCGCCCCTGTGCCTTCCTCGTCGCCTCGTCGGAGTGCGGTTCGAAAATGCGGCCCAGCGTAGGTCCGTGCCGCGGGCCTGTGTGCCAGGGCCTGGAAGACGCAGGCCGCCTCATCAGATCGCTCAGATCCCTCCTCTTCCTCCTACTCCTCTTCTCTTCCTCCTCCTCCTCCTCCTCCTCATCCCCTGCCTCTCTGGGCTCGACCTGGCTCCCAGGCGTCGCTCCCTTTCTCTGCCTCCTGCCGCTGCTGTTGCCGCTCCTCTCCGGGCCACCAGTACCCGGTTGGCCACGCTTCGGCCTTTTGTTGCTTCTGCTGTTGTGTCTAATCCACCGCTCTGCCGACCCCTGCCCCGCCAGTCGCCCCGCATTCTCACGTGAACCCTGCGTGTGGATTCGTGAGGGGGCGAAAATAGGGGGGGAAGAAAGGTGCCGTTTTTCGGGCCCTACGGAAATGGCCCCCGCAGGGGCCCTAAAGGACCCGTTTTCGGAACCCCAATTTATCGCCTCCCTTATTAGACGCCCCCCAATCTCAAGCGAGTCGCGAAGGACGGCGCCGCCAGGCCGTCCACGGTTGCATGTCGCCCTGCTCTTTCGTGGGCTGGCTCTGGCCCCTTCTCTTTGCACGCGCCAACTACGTACGTCGTGATCACCCACAGGCAGACGCTCGGTGGAAATTGATCTAAGCGTTTGCCACCCTTGAACTCGCAACTCGCTTCGTTGGATCAACTGGCCGTGATGTTGCGACGCGCGCGCAGAGCGAGCGGTCAAGCGCCACGGCGCCGTGCCCAGCTCAGGCCCGTGCACCTAATTAGGGGTGGAGGGGGGTGGAAGGCCGCCACACACGACCCGCACAGGGGACTGCAGGACTGCGCGTGTGGCGGGCAGCTGCCTCCGCGAGCGTCATTGGCAGCAGACCGCATGACGGGGCGGTGCCACCCGGGGCCCAGGCAGTACGGCTCGCCCCTGTAGCGGCAAATTGAAAAGAACTGGCCGTGATGTGCCAGTATCTCCACGCCGCGTGATCTGGGCTGCCCCGCGCATCTCTTTGCCCAACCTTCCGCGAGCATGGCCGCGATGCCCCCGAAGAGTGTGTGTGTGTGTGTGTGTGTGTGTGTGTGTGTGTGTGTGTGTGTGTGTGTGCGTGCGTGCGTGCGCGCGTGCGTGCGTGCGTGTGTGTGTGTGTGTGTGTGTGTGTGTGTGTGTGTGTGTGTGTGTGTGTGTGTGTGTGTGTGTGCGTGCGTGCGTGTGTGTGTGTGTGTGTGTGTGTGTGTGGGTGTGTGCGTGTGTGTGGTCGGCTCGCCCTCCGCTTCGCCCTGCCATCCACGCCCGTGTGGCATATGGTGCGGCTTGCCGAAGGCGAGGCCCTTCCTGGAGCGCGCCTGGTGGCCACTCGGGGCTCACATCCCCGACGTCGTGGACCTCCAGAAGCCTCGACCCTCCTCCTCCTCCTCCTCCTCCTCCTCCTCCTCCTCCTCCTCCCCCGCCAGCTGCCACGGTTGCTCGAGCGATTTATGCTGGCAGCAGGCCAGAACTTGTCGCAGCAACCACAGCTGGGGGCTTCCTCGCGCCCGCTCCTGCGCGCGCGAACCGTGGCTGGGAGGTGCGAAGATACTCGGCTGGAACCCTCAGAGCGCCCGTGGTGACCGCCTTGAGGAAATTGTTCTGGCTTGCAGGTCGTTCGATTTCAGTCTGCCAGGGGGTGCTCAAGCGTGTGATCGTAAAGCAGAAGAACCCCTCCAGCTCGGAGTTCAGGGGCAGTGGATCATCGAGAGTGAGTATAATCCTGTCTTACAACAGTACAGGTTGCTCGGTCATTCTGCATCGAGCTTATCGTCTCAGATACATAGTGAGAGTGTGGGCGAGTCCGAAAGGGGCGGGAGGGAGACCACTGGACGTACGGTTGAAACACAATTGCCAAGACATCTGTTTGGTGGTCCTGTAGTTCCCGCCCCAGCCGAGGTGGGCGGAGGAGGTCCCCTTCTACTTGGAGGCGACGCGCATCCTGGGCAAGTGGCTGGGCGAAGATATCAGCAACCTGCCCGCCCGCTGCTGCCCCGTCGTGTACTCGGGCGTGAACGACGGCATAGGGTTGAGCCGTAAGTCTGCAAAGTGGCATTGGATCGATGATGGGGGTGGTCGCGGAGACGGCGGCTACGAGAGAGGCTCGCAGATTTGGAGGGGGTGAGACAGTGAGGTCGCAGGCAGCAAAACACCATCTGATGGCGGCGAATGCGAGAGATGGGATCTGCCCAACATGCTTCAGTGCGAAGGGGGGCACTTCCATGATCGACTTTCTGCTCTTCCCGACGCACGTGGCCGACGCGGTGGATCATTGCCACACTTTACGAGGGCTGGGAGCGCAGCTGCAAGCGTTTAGGGGCCCGTCCCCGCGGGATCACGTGCCCATCAAGTTGCAGATATATATCCCGAGATTTTCGGAGCAGATCCAGCGGGCACCGCGCATAGAGTGGGACAGTGATAAGATTATGGATGCACTACGTGGGGGGGGGGGGGGGGGCGACTTGAAGCGGGACTTCCTGCTAGCGGTCGAAGAACGATTGCAGGCGGAGGGCCCGCAGTGGACAGATATGCTTCGCGTGGGGGATCCCGATGTATTTTTCGACTACGTGAATCGAATGCTGGTCGAGGCGGGGCAGCAGCTATTCCGACCTGGCAGGACACATCAGTATAAAGGAGGGCAATGCGGCACTTCGACGCGAACCACTTCGAAGGCGAGCCGACTTAAGGGTAGCATTGGGTTCTCTTTCCGCACGACATGGTACCGCCCTGGGAGAAGCAAGTACGGCGCCACCCTCTCTGGAGCAGGTCGAGTCCGAACTAAAAGAGGTCACCCACCGTCTCCACCAGCAGCGGCGTCAGGAACGGGCAGCGAAGCGGAGATACATGGAGGATGAGATCGAGACGGCCTGGAGGGCTAGGAAGCTGGCACTGGCGATGCGTCTCTCACGCGAGGCGGGACGGTGCAGATTTGGCCCACAGAAGGGGGACGGCAAGGCAACCAGGGTGGCCCAACACTCTCGGGCTAAATGGCTTGAGGCGTGGCAAGCGGCAGGAAACAGTGGCGGCGTGTCGGCGACGGAAGTGGACCCGCCTGGGCTCATCCAGTCGACGGAGGCGCTGCCCGACCTGACGGTGGAGATGGAGGAATGCGCTCGGGCGGACATCAAGAGGGTCTCGTGGGCGGTGCAGAAGGCGAGTCGACTCCGAGCGGTACCGGAGCGATCACCGCCAGTCGAACTTTGGCAGTTTTGTTTTCACCCTGATAAGCGCTGCGTGCGAGGACGATGGGGAGTGGGAGCTGACGCAGGAATTCCTGGCATGGCGACCTTCACGGAGGCGATGTTGGGGGGCTTTCGGATGATCAGAAGAGCGACGCGTACCCCCAGCCACTGGCACCGCAGCTCAACAGTTGGGCTACGCAAGAGGGGTGCCCCAGGTGTGAAAGGTAAACGGGTAGTTCACGTCCTCGGCCCCATGGGCAAGTGCTTTTACGCGGAGATCTTGAAGGTGCCAGCTGACGTTACTGACTATGGGTTAATCGAACATCGAAGACGCGAGGGGGCGATCATGGCAGCTCAGGTGATGGCTTGGCGTCTTCGTCATTCGTACCGCACCTTCTCGGCGAGTCTCAAAGACATGAGCAACGCCTTCGCGTCGGGCCACCACTCGCAGCTAGATGAGACAGTGAATATGCGCGTGGCCAAGGATTTAGACGTTCCGCTGGCTATGCACAGATATAAGGAATCATGGATTTGTTTGCCTACCTCGGAGGGCCCCCCGCTGTGGCTTCAACCTGCAGAAGGAAACACCATGGGGGACCCCGTCGTGGTCTCGCTATTCAGGGGTGCCTTCAGCAGGCCCATTTTCTCTCGGAAGTATCGGGCAGATCATCGCACGTCTCGGGCGCTCACGGCCGAGTGGAAGGAAATGAAAGCAAACCGCAGCCTCCTCAATCATGCTGACGACATCTGGAATTTTACGGTTGCGTCTCGGTTCCAGAGGATTTCGGAGTTCCTGAGATGGATGCGTCGTTCAGATGAGATCCTGCAGGAAGAGCTGGAGGAGGTGGGGTTTGGAGCTGACCGAAGCAAACAAGTCAAGCTGATCCACGTCTCGGGGGAAGGTAGCCTAAAGGTCAAACGCTGGCTTCGTCACCACGCCGTCCCCACTCTTGGAGAGGAACTTCACGAATGTACTCGGTATCTGGGGCCTCATATCTCGTTGTCTGGGATTACAGGACCTGAAGTTGCTCGTCGTAAGGAAGCGGCATCGGCTGGGTTCTACTAGATGGGAGGGTTCTGGACTCTAAAGTGTCCCTGGAGGTGTGCCAGGACTATCCTGATCGGGCTTGTCCAGAATGCTTTATTGAATGGTCTGGAGGCAATGATGGTCACTCCTCAACAGTATAAGGACATGAGTGCTCACCTGGCTCGTCTTTGCCGAGTGCCGCTGCAAGGTCGGGGCGCGTCTCACGAGGGCGAGCACACGACGACATGGTCGAATGACCAAGTGCTGCGGTACTGGAAACTCGTGCCGAGCGCGAAAGATTTGCTCGTGCGACGCCTGAGCTGGTACCGGCAGATGGCGCGACTTTCTGACAGCCATCAGCAGCTCCTGTGTGCACTGTTTGGCCGTTTGCCTGCACTGGAGTTCGACAGATACAAGCCTGTGCTCCTTGACCGCTTGAAAAAGCACGCGTCCCTATGGGCTCGTCGTATCCAGGAGGACTTTCAGGAGGCTTGGAATATTCTCGGAGAGGAGGCCCTGGTCATGGAATAGCTCTCGGAAGTCCCCTGCAAGTTCGTTGACCCCGAGTTGGCGCTCGACTTTATCAATATTGATTTCTCCGTGATCCGATCGGTCCAGGTTCGCGCCCAAGCGCCTCCTCCAGGTTACCAGCCCCTTGAGGTTCCTGTTCCACTAGCCCCAGAGGCCCCGCGAGAATGAAAGTGCAAATGGGTGGAGGAAGGTGGGGTAAAATGTGAGGCAATATTCCGCACAAAACGTGCTCTTCTCAACCATCTTCATGCTAAACACCATGTTCGGAATGCGGAACACGTGTTAGCCCCTACGAATAAGTGTGTGGTATGCCATACGGTTCTCAGCTCTAGAGTGGTGGCTGGCCGTCACCTAACTCGGTCCCTCGTTCGGGGCTACTGTATTCCAGATGGGGCTCGGAAGTTCCACGCTCTCATACCTCCTGATACACTTCAGTGCCGAATATGCGGGGGCGATCATGCTGATTTGGGTCACCTCTGTCGCCATCTGGGTCAGCATCTTCCTCGAGAGGTATTGCCTCATCGCCCTCAGTCGGACCGTCGGCGCCAGCAGCAGCATGGCCCTGGACGGTGCACCAGCGTGGCTGGCGCTCCCGACGGACGCGGAGATGACCGTGGCCCCGCCGCTGCAGAAGAAGGGCCGCCACGACGACGACAAAGGCGGCGGCAGCAAGAGCTTGCGAGAGACGGTGAGGACGATGGGGCGCCTCGTGTTGGCGGATTCCCGCGAGATCCAGGACCTGGCCGCCGTCGTGTTCAAACAGTTCGAGGCGAAGCAAGGCGGCCTGTCCGAGCAACAAGAGGCCACGGGCAAGGCGTACAACGCCCAGTCCACGGTGCTGCGCGAGAAAGGCAGGGGAACAGGTCGACTTCGAGAGCACGCCCCCCCCGCACGTGGCGGTGTTCGCGGCGTCAGTGAAGTGGTGGGGCACGGACGGGAACCTCAGCAAGAAACAGTTGACGGACGGCTTCTCCAGCATGTGGAAAGATGCGATTACGACTTCTCCCCGCAACAGATCGCGGCATTGGTTCCGTAACTTTCGGTGGAAGGCCTACAAGGGGAAACCCACCACGGGCGGCAAGGACAAGGGCAAGGGCAAGGACGACCAGTCGCAGTCGCAGCAGGTGACGACGGGCTCGGACAAGGGTCTTGTCATGTAGGCGGTCGAGGTTACTCACGCTCACGGGCCCAAGCTAGCGGCTCTCCTTGAAGAGGCGATGCTGGACATGAAGGCGGTGTACAAGGCGGGGGCGGCTCCGCCGCCAGGCCCACTTCACCGGCAGCTCTCGAAGATGACCAACGACATGTGAGGATGGACAGAGCTGATGATGGGT